TCATGTGATGAAACATATAAGTTGTGACGGCCCAAGTTTTGCAACCCGGTGCGTCAGTGATGACCCAAAAGTTGATCCGGTAACGGGTCCGAAATGCGGAAGTGAAAGATAAACCAAAGTCTCTAGAGATATAAATCATCCCTAAAACACCAATATGACCTTCCATGAAGTCACGGAACTCAAGGTAAACGAAAGAGCAAATGAGAGTCAAAATGAGCAAAATCCGTTAATCAAGGAGCAAAATGGTCAATTTACAAATGAGAAGGGAGATTTAACTCTAAGCAAGTCAAATAAGGTTCATCCAACCTAAACTAATCATTTGATAACATTCCAAGAGGTTCTAAAAACTTTGGCCAAGAATCCCACAAGACTCTCATTCCCGGTTTAAACAAAATCTGACATTGTCTCACTAAAATATGAATAACTTCCACTGTGATTTGAATATTAGAATGACATTAGTACCATTGGAAAGCTAACTTAAAATCCTTGAATTTAGGCTCAAGAATCACCCCATTTGGATTAGAAATGAAGAAGTTATGACCGTTTGAAGTTAGAGCAATAATGTTGTCCCAAAACTGAAGAGTAAAGAACTGAAGCATTTAGGTTAACCGAAATGGCATTTTGGTCGACCGAAATGAACCCAGAATGGCCCAAAATCTATAAAATGAAGGAAAATCATTTAGGTCGACCGAAATGAAGAACCGGTCAACCGGTTGTGACCCAAATAATACGAAAGCTATTGGAAAAATGAATTTTTACTGTGTAAATAAATCTTAAAAGCCATCGGTCGACCGAAATGACCTTTCGGTCGGCCGAAATGACTCGAAATGGTGCTGAAAGACCTGTTATACACCCAAAAATGTTGAGGCTTAACCCAAGCCTCAATTCCCATCATGAATTGGTCCAAAAACAAATCTTTAAAGCTGTGCAAGCATGCCAACAAATGTACTTTACATATTGAAATGTGTTACAATGGCCCATGGCCTCGTTACATATCATTTACTTCAAATTACATGCCAAACCTCCAAAGTTAGGAAAATTACATTTCAAAGGCAAAACTTGAATCTAAATGCATACACCTGAACTTTAAAGTTTGTGGCCTTTGGCCTCAAATCATACATATCAAATAGGTTCCAAATAGTGTATCTAAGTACACTTTACATATCATAAGGCAAAAATAACATATTGAACCTAGCTATGTATCACAATTTTATAAGCAAAACTTAAACATGCTAACACTTGCATGTGAATAAGAATACATTTAAAAGAACTTTAAATCCACAAAACGACCTAGGGATATTGTGCATCCCAATTAAGGTATCCGTACCTGAAAACAACCCGATAACTTTGAGGTGAGTAAACAAGTTACTCATAGGGAATGTGCATGCATAGACTTAACATTTTAAAATGTTATCACATTAACATAAAATAATTCAAATGGGTCATGCCGCCTAACGTCTATGTCAAAAGTGAGACTCAGGGAGATTCCTAAGCTACCTTAAAACATTTATAGCATAAACCACATTTTTATGCAATTAAATAGTATAAGAGCATACGATACAACGCAACAATATATAGATTATCAAAGTTATCAATTTGAAATTTAAAATGCGAAACAACTAAAGTGGGTCATGCCACCTAACGTCTATATTCCAAATGAATTTATAGGATCATTCCTAACATAAATGTACTTAACAACATCAAAATTTGTAATAATTCATTAAAAATCATAATGCATAAATGTACTTAATAACATTAAAATTGCGATGATCCATTAAAAATCATAATGCATAAATATACTTAACAACATTAAATCGCCAATAACCAAACCACAAGTCACAATTAAATATTAGTTGTCAACTTGGAATTGAATGCGAAATCAAATAGTGGAAGACTTGGACATCAAATCTCAGAGTAAAACTAAGACCTAAACTGTTATTCCGAGCACTAACCCACTGGAAATACCACCCTAGTGCGCACTATAAATTGGGGAGACCTCATACCTCCCGTACTAGAGCCAAACTCTAGCCATGTCAAAATAACAATGCCCAAGTGACTCCAAAATCAATAAATAAGTTTAAAACTTATACATAATCAAATAATGCATGAAACTACCTTTCGTGCACAAGTAGGTTGAAACCACACAATCCATGTTTTAGGGTTTCAATTCTAAAATGGCATATATAGTGTCAAATACGAAATGTGCAATTCATTACACAAGACAATAATATATTCAATATTGGGAACATTCTCTCATGAATATAAATTTAACAACAATGTTATTCAATGCTTAAAGCACCACCAAGTGAATACATAACAAGTCCAAATCCATGATCTAAACATAGAAACAACTTCTAAAACATAATTAAATCCATGAAACAACGAGATAGAATTTAACTAAATAAAAATAATTAAATTCTCTAAATTTCAAATCATTTCCAAATGGCCTCAAATTAATGTATATTAAAGAACATAGCATGGTCATCAACAATATCAAGTTAAAAATCCAATTAAGTGAATAAAACACTTAAAATAAAATTAATTAATCTAATGAATTAATTTTCTCTAGATTTTAAAATAACTTCAAATGTCCTCAAATTAACATAGGTTAAAGAATATACCAAGGCTTACTTTAATATTACATTATAAGTTGATTTCATATTCGTTACAACCATATGAATTTAACTTTCATAAAAGAAAATTATTAAATAAAAGTCTCACTACTTATTCAAATGTTCTCAATTTAATATATGTTAATAAACATATCGAGGCCTAATTTAATAGCATGCCACAATTTAATTCCATCACATATACAACCATGTGAATTAAATCTTACATAAAGAAAATAATTAAATTAAATTCTAAATTATGAACAAAAGTATGCATACAAATTGTATAAGCATCAATAGCATGCAAGAGAACGAAAATATAAACCTATAACATCCCCTACCTCAATTTGAGATGAAAATCTCAAAAGCCATCAAATGGAAACTGCCTCGAATCCGACAAAATTTTGGGATTTTGTTGGGGAGAACACGGTGAACAATAAACCCCAAGGAGGACTCACCAAAATCCAAACTTGGTTTCAAATCCGAACTCAAAAAATGGCAAAAACAAGATTCCAATCGGTTGAAATCGAAGGCCTCGTCAAAGCGAACATTAAATAAAAAGGCACTAATACGTTTTACTGAAAGGAAGTGGCTGAAAAAAGAAGAAGAAGGGTGGTAGCCCCTTGGCTGCCATGGCTGCCAAAAGAGGGGAAAGAGATGAGAGAGTTTGACTTTTCATTTTAGAACCCCCTATTTATAGAAAAAGTGCCCCAAACAGGTCCTGCCGGGTCTGAAAAAGTGGAATTTATGTGAACGCACTCAAATAATAAAACACTGTGAACAAAAAAGAACCGAAATGAGATAAAATGAATAACAAAAGAAATGGCGTCAAAAACTGAGTCCCAAGCAGAAAGATATGTCTCGAATAAGTTCGGCGGCAACCGGGGTTAGAAACCCTAAAGTTGCAGTAAATGACCAGAAGACAATTCTAAGAGTACACGACTCGACAAAAAGTGAAAATGAATTCTGTACGAGGATCCAGGCCCAAAACGAGGCATTTTGCAATAACTTTCATTCATTACACAATGGCCCCTATAAAAAATGTTAACTACAAAACTGGTCCAGAATGAAAATATCTTCCAAAAAGATATTTTCTTAAAAACCCCCAAAATAAATATCTTCAAAAGATATTTATGAAAAACACCCCAAGAAACAAGAATGTTTCTGAAGAATCCTTTCATCCACACCCCTACGGGAAAAATAAGACAATCGACGAGCTTTTTAACAAAAGTAAAGCTACGCATTTCGAGAAAATCAATTGGAATGAAAACTCATGAAGTCAAAGCTCAACTCTGAACATGAAAAGTGAGGTTATGCCAACAAAGTGACAAACGGGAAAAAAGACGAAAAGTGAATAGTGTCTAAAAAAATGAAAATGTGGAAATGACGTAGTCTTTTAAGGAAGTTGTCAATCCAAAGGAAAAAGTCTCGGAAACCATTCCCGAGCACTCAAGTAGACACTAAGTGATGAGAACTGAACTCAGAAAGGAAAAGACAATAGAAAAAAAAAATTCGTAAAAATCTGAGAAAAAGGAAAGGAAGTGAAATGACCGGGTCATTACATAAGTTGTACCTCAACTATGGTTGCAAACTTGGTTTTGATGTAAGGAGAAATCATCAGAGAAAAAATACAGCGGGGCTCATCACGGGGGTTACCTTTTGTTGTTCAAAAGAAGATAAAAGGAAAGAGACCAAAACTCCTTTATACCATCAACTTGTTACAAGAGTTGGTTGTTTGGCTCATATGAAATGTGGACTTTAAAACAATGGCAAATTCAAAGTTGTATTGTTGAACAAAATCCATAATCATGACTTAATTAGAATTCCAATGAAACATAGATGAGAGTTAATCAAAATATTTCAAAGGCTCAAAAAGAACATGTTGAAGATTGCAGAGATGTCGGGATTTCCACTAAATGGAACAATGGAGTTGATAAGTAGAAAAGTTGGTGGTAGGCAACATCTTGGTTTTCTAGATAAGGATTACTAAAATTACATACACAGAAAGCAAAAGATGGCAATGGTAAGAGGAGATGCCAGAGAAATTTTAGAATATTTTGAAAAAATGTAGCTGAAGAATTCATCATATTGTTGTTCAATGCAAGTGGATGAGGATGATATGATCACTAATATTTTTTAGGCCGATGCTCAATTAATGACTATGGCCTATTCGGAGATGTTGTGTGCTTTGATAGTACTTATTGAACAAATGAATATGGTCGACCTTTTACACCATTTATTAGGGTGAATCATCATAAACAAACAATCATGTTTAGTGCAGCCTTACTTTACGATGAAACCATTGAATCATTTAAGTGGTTGTTTCAAACTTTCCTTCGTGCAATGTCCAGAAAGCAGCCTAAGACAATTCTGACAGATCAATTTACTACAATGGCAAAAACAATATCTCTTGTCTTTTCTGAATCTCAAGATCGATTATGTGTTTGGCATATTTATCAAAATGTAGCGAAGAATTTGATTCATGTGTTTAATAAATCAAACCACTTTACTTATGACCTTAGTAATTGTGTGTACGATTATGAAGATGAAAATGAGTGGCTATTAGCATGGAATAGTATGTTGGAAAAGTACAGTCTCGAAGAGAATAAATGGTTGAAAGAGTTATTTGAAATAAGAAAAAAATGGGTAATCGTTTACGGACAACACACTTTCACCGCGGACATAAAAACTACCCAATGTAATGAAAGTTTGAACAATATGTTAAAGAATTACTTGAAGTCGAGTCATAATCTTTTGTGTTTGTTTGAGCATTATGAGAGGGTTTTGAATGATCGGCAGTATGAAGAACTGCTTGCAGATTTTAACATGATGCGAAGTATGCCCGTGTTATTAACTAGTGTGGAGATGTTACGTCATGGTGTAGAAATCTATACCCTAAATTTTTTTGAATTGTTTCAGAAAGAGTACACAAGGTTGGGAGATTACAATGTTTATAAAGTGGCTAAGGATGGGACAAAAGTTGAATACAAAGTATCTTGTGCTGGAAAATCTCAAAGGTATGTGGTCAATTTCAAAGCCTCAACAGAAACAGTTATGTGTAGTTGTTTGAAGTTCACTTTTATTGGGATTTTATATGTTCATACTTTGAAAGTGTTGGATGAGAAGAATATAAAAAGGATTCCGCCCCAATATATCATGAAAAGATGGACAAGAGATGCAAAGGCAAGGACTATCACTAATTATCATGAAATTGAAGCCAATGACAATCCTAAAGTGTCTATCAGAAAGCGTTATAGTCATTTATGTCGAAATTTTTGTGAGATTTCATCTTTAGCATCGGAACATAAGAAGTTATATGCATATGCAAATGATCGTGCTCTTGTATAGCTTAATGACTTGGAGGAATTGAAGAAAGAACTTTACTTAAATAATGTAAGTTCTGGCGAAAGTTCAGTTGGTCGAAATAAGGAAGTTGATATGATAGCTCCACCAAAGAATTGTGTGCCAATAGGGGTTAAAGAAAAGCTACAGTTGGGCGTCCACGTAATTAATTAAAAGGTGCACTTAAAAAGCGAAAAAAAAACTTATATGCAAAAAATTCAACAAGACTACAAAAGGCCCCTGAGGTATTTTATGAAACTTTATAAATAATTTAAACTTTATAAATAAATTAAATTGTGATCAGTGTTGTACTTACATTTTTTTTTTTTTTTCAATGGATATTATAGAAGCTCATTTTTAGTAGTTGGAACTCACAAGAGCAACAAACTAGACATGATATGTTTACCCAGGTAATTCATTTCTTTTTGTGTTATGTTTCTTTACCCTGACTTATGTTCTATTTTACAATTTTGTAATTATTGCTTAATTTATATTTGATAGGAATCCCAAATTGGCCTTGGAGTAGAAACGTCTTCTGCAGCTCATTCAATGATGAACTATGATCATGAAAATTTTGAGGCAATCACAAATCGGCAACCCAATATGTTTTACATACGATTACTTCAGGTAATTATATTATCCTAACAAAATAATTGATAATATTACAAATTAATGATGTAGATTTATTTATTTTAACTTCCTTATAATTTTAATACTTGTAGGAGTTGCATTATGGCAACCTCTCACAAACTGCACGAGAAGGTAACCAGTTTGAAAATTTTCCTCCTTTTTAGTCAATCTGAGGCCTGTTTGGTGGAGCTTTCGGGGATGTTGGGATTGTTACTTTTTGTTGTTATAGTTGGTTATTGAATCTTGTTACTCAATATGATGTCTGTTTGGTAAAGTTTTTGGACATGCTGGGGATTGTGTTACTTTTTGTTGTTATAACTAAAAAAACTTGCTAGACAATTTGAGGCATGTTTGGTGGAATTTTTGGGATGCTATTGATTGAATATTTTGTATCCTAATTTGATTAAAATTGTAAATTATAAAGTAAATGAAAGGAAATATTGCCAAAAACAAAAAAAAAATGGAAATAAAGTACTAGGAGTATTATAGTTCTGTATGTTTTTAATCATTCAGAGCTTTCACTGAATTACAACTGTTGATATAATAATCAAGCAATGTACAAGAACAAATACATATTGGTATATTTACAAAATTTATTCATTTTACTTTTCACACAAGAGCTTCATTGCAAATACTTCCACAAAACATTCACATGTACTCACAGGATCACTCAATTCAAATCTACAAGTCCAACAGTTTAAATATAACTATAAACAACATGGAGAAGCTCTTATGTTTTATGAAACAAATCCCAACACATCAACCACTTTAAATAAAATGAAGCAAGCTCAACTCAAAATCAAATCAACAAATATTGGGATTTTAATAAAAATTGAACTGAAACCACAATTGGAGGTAAAAACATGGCAATTTCATTGAAAATTAGATATTTGCAATCCCGTGACAGAATCACAATTATAGCAATTCAAAACACCTAATATTGCTAACTTTTAAAACCACCATTTACAAAAATAACTTACTTCTAAAACCCCCCCAAATTATAACTGATAATCAACCAACGAATCCATACAGAGTCCTACCCTATAGCCTGATCTGTTTCCTATTCGTCAAAGAATAAGCGGAGAATCACATAGATCAGTACGAAGCTTTCGAATTTCTCGAAGCAAAGGTTCGACCCGTAAGCTTAATCCAAGAGAGTTTCTAACGAAATATACTTACAGGTAGCCTCAAGGCTGAGGTAAGATCAAAGTCTAATAGCAGGATAGGTATAGTCTGCTTTGAAGGTTGCCTAATTTTCACCTCTTGAGCCGGCTGATCCTCCCTTTTCTGTGGGAATCTTAAGTCCTAAGATCGTAGATTAGTCATGGAAGTCTTATTTTCTAGAAAGCTCTAAAGGTTGAACATTGACTAAGTAATTCTCAGGCTATAGAAATTGGGTCATCTGACCTTTTATGTCACTAGAATTTATGCTGCTAATAATGCCAAGGATAAAATCTTTCTTTGACAGTAGTTGCTCAATCACTCTTTTTGAGGATAAATGGTCGTTCGTAATGCCCTGGATATTGTTCAAAAGAACTTTTTGGTGAAGCTTGGCACCTCCCTTGCCCAAGCCCTTTCCACCCTTGCCTCTTCCAGACATTCTTAGAGAGAGAGAGTTAGATCTAGGGTTTTCGAATTACAGGACTGAGTTCCAATTTTGTGTGTTGTGAGATTAAAACTTTTACATCTCTCTTTAACATGGAGAGAGAAAGAGATGGGAAGATTATACCTTGGGGCGAATTGAAAACGAATTGAAGGACTAAGTTTCCAATTAAGTTGTATTGTTGAGAGAAAGAAAGAGAGAAGAGTGATTACAAGAAACGGGTTTTGTGATACCCCCGAATTTCCTGATACAGGTTGGCCAGGCCCACACCTGAATACCCGAGGATATCAAAAATAAATCGGCAATAATTGAACACATAATACAAAATAGATGAAAAAGAATAAATAAATTTCGGAAAGAAAACTAAAATGATAATCTATTAATTGAAACCTCAGAATAAAATTTAATTAAATAATAAATTTTTCTGATACAATTAATCCTCAAAAGTAATACAACTTGGGAATCCATACTATGTGGACACCTAGAAAATTCCAACTGAACAAATGACAGCAATAACTGTCTACATCAGAAAACTGAATCATAAAAGAACTCCTATGCAGATAATCCAGAAGAGTGAAGTACACTGATCACTGCTCAGCACGAACAATCCCTACTCCTGACGAACACTTGAAAAATAATGGTAGGTCAGGCCCCAAACAAGTTCTACTCTACTACAGTCCAAGCAGAGATCCGATACACGTATACATCCTAGCCAATCCAACAATAACTAGTAGTTCGTATATATATATATATAGATACACACTAAGGGACTCTCACTGGATTATAAGGCGGTCTCAACCTGACTAGTAGGCAACATGCAAAACGCACCTGAAGTGGGCATGAGTACCTAGACCTAACAGGGTACACAACTAACCATTATAACCAGCTATGCATCCCACTGCATATACGCTCCCTAACCATTGATCCTGAGACTCAAGCTCATATCATGGCATCATAATCATATATATAAATAATCCGTCCTATCCAAACATAAATAAATATCCAGTAAAAAAAATAATCCTCCATAAGTCATTCAGCTTGGTCAGTTAACCTGACTTGAATATAAGTAGGACTTAACATTTTTAGTTAATCCATTCCCTTATACAAAATAAGTAGGACTTAACTTCTTTGGTTAATCTGTCCCTAGAATGCCACCGTCCCATACCGGTGCATTTAAACCACACAATCCAATACATGATGCAACAGATAAAACAGTACATCAAGTAAATCCACAGTTGATGCAATAATTTAAATACATTATAAAAAAATTCCAGAATTAAGCATAATAAGGTTAGACCAAATACTTGACCATATTATTCTACCCATGCATGATTAAAATCATATAACATCCATATTAATTGCTAAGTTATTTTTAAGCAATTAAATTCCTCCACTCCATCTAATAATTGATGAAGAAATAAATTAATACATCAATTAAATCCAGAAATCAGCATACCCAAAATTAGATAAATACATGACTAAATTATACTAATAATCCATGATTTAAATCATTTAACATCCATTTAAATTGTTAGAATAATTTTCAACAATTAAAACATCCACTAGCAACATACAAATTTAATTAAAATTTCACATTGTTCAAATCCTCAGCACTTTAATATAGATTATGCACTGTGGGTATTTAACATATCCATCATAGTCATTTACAACCCTTAAAGTGACCTACACAGACCTGAAATACCCCAAAACCAAAAACAGTAGCCAAAACCCACGTACAGTGAAGTCCCAGGAGTAGAGCCGCCTCTACTTTGAGTAAAGCCGCCTCTACTCCAAGTAGAGCCGACTCCATTCTCAATGGAGCCGCCTCCATTCGAATGGAGCTGCCTCCATTCCTTCTTCATCTACGACGTTCTCTGATCGCTCCGACCATCTTCCTTAAGGTTCCAAACCTTCTGTTCTAAGTCCTAGATAATCCCAATAAATTTATAAAGTCCATATGCATTACAAACACGAATTAAAACAAAGTTCTATGCAATTAATTTCAAGATTAATCAAGAACACATATAAATACACATATACTGTTTTAATTCAAATTAAGCATGCATATTAAGTTGATTTAATATCTAATTAACTCTGGAATTAAACTCGGCATGTATAAAAATACAAAATCTAAGAGAGAGAGTTAGAAGAAGAATTTGCCTATAGGTTTCGGATTGAAACCTTAACTTTTTCTTCCTAGCTTTTCCGGCGATCGTGACTGCCTTCAAGAACTCCTCTACTGCTCTTGGTTCTACCCACGAGCAAGCCCTCTTCTTTCCTCCTTGGTCTGGCCTTCAACCTTTGGCCAAAACCTTAGCCTTTTCTCTCACAGCTTCTCTCTTTCTCTCTGCCTCCAATAAATAACGTGAATAGGGTTTTTAATCCTATGTCATGCTTATATATATAAGCTTATAAAATATAACCTATTTCTAATCTCTCTCCAATTCCTTCCTTAATACTAAATAAAATAAAAATATATCTATAAATAATATATTTATAATAATATACATATATATGAAGTCTGTACGTAATTATATATATATATATATACACACACACACATATAAATTTAACTTATAACTATATATATATATATATATAAACTAACTATACTTATTAATATAATTATTTAATATACTAATAAATATGATATCCATAAATATACATATATACCCATACATATATGTACCAACATCCATGTGTAAATATTCGTACCTATTAATCTCCTATCCAAGTAGTCCATGCGACCCAATTGGTTAGTCCATTACTACTATCCATATCAGTTCCTTAAAATATAAAATAAAATAAAACAATTAAAATCATTCAATCCTAACATAAAATTACAATTAAGCAACACATACAAACAAATTACACCTCATCAAAGCAAGCAAGTCAATTACCACATTAATTAAGACAAATCAATTAAGCACACAATTAAGCAACACATCAACTAAGCAAATAAAATCATACAAACAAATTACACCTCATCAAAGCAAGCAAGTCAATTACCACATTAATTAAGACAAATAATTTAAGCACATAATTAATGTAAACAATTAAGCAACTAGCCAAATAATCAATTAATTATTTAAAAATGCAAGTAAAACAAATAAAAAAATACCGAGACTATCCTTTTAAAATTAGGGATATTACATTCTTCCCCCCTAACAAAAGGAATTCCGTCCTCGGAATTCGCTCTTACTTTATTCCATTATTTTTGGAAACTGTAAGCGAATGACATCCTCTCATTCCCAAGTGGAGTCAGCCTCATTATAATAGCTCCATCTAACTCTAACGTATCAAATAAATATATATGGTTCCTATATTCAAGAAACACAATAACCGTACTACTAATAGGTTGTATCTAACAACAACTCCATCTTAACCAATATTTATTCAAGGGTAACGATCCAGATTTCTCCAAATGCCATAGAATATATGCACAAAATTCCTATGCACCCAGCGATAACGATTTGGTAACGCTAATCGATAGACAACTGCCTCAAATGATAAACACAATCCGTGAAAAGTCAAATAAATTTAAATAAAAATTTACCATTC